TAACAGTTTTTTTTTGCATAAAGAAATGGACGCTGTCTAATGAAAATCGTAACATTTTTTTCGCACAAAATCAAAGTCGCACAAAATTTTAATTTATATATATATTTTTAATTTTGAAGGTTCATTTGGGATAAAATAACATTAAAATTCTAAATCTTTTCGTTTTTTGTTTCAAGAATTAAAGATACCGAGGATGTGTGTGTGTGTATATACAAAATTAAATGTTTATATATTCCTTAACAATACTTATTTCTTTACACGAAAAATTGAATGTACAATAATTGTATTAAAACGTGAAAACATTTTTAAACAATAGACATTAGTCTTCCTGTTTAAACAATTAAACGAAAGATCATTTTTTTTTCGATCTCCTAAAGTAAATTTCCCCCTTAAAAAAGCAATAAAGAATACTAATAACTTCAATTAGCCAAGTATGGAAAAATGATATGCTGAAAATTAAAAATCCAATGATGTCATTCACTGAGAAGACTATAAAGAGCTATCGATCGCGTATGAATCGATTAATTGACACACTAAGGGCGGTATTCATAATCCATTCTTCTATCAATTGTCTTAAGATGCTATATCTCTTAATACAGCCCTCTGATTGTTTCGCGCACTTCTTAAGACTTGTCTTGAATATAAGACATCTGACTATACCGGCTTAAGAATCCACGAAATAAATAGTACGTTTGTAGGCGCGGAATTATTCGGAGAAAGTATATCGAAGGAAAGTTAGGAAACGCATACTCCCTTTAGGAGCCTTTTAGGGCCCACGCTGCCGCGATTATCAATGCTGCGGCTATCAATGGAGACGACGGACTACTTACAGCCTTCTTGTCTCTTTTTATTGGAACAGCCTGTCACAGAAGTCGAAGAAAGTATATGATAGCCTCGCCTTCACGCCTCGTATCCCGATTATATTTCGCATTACATGCTGCAACAACGGCATGTAACAACGGCTATGCACGATTAGAAATACTCGCTATCTTAGATCATCAGAAAATATCGCATGCGATAACGATAATCAACTGATATCCCTTTAAGATGAGCTTTATATAATCGAACGATATACATAATGTAGCATAAAAATCTCGTTTGTCTCTATTGTCATTTTCCATGCAACGTCTTTTCGAGATATCCGAGAGGACGCAGAGTGAAATGTCATCGATGCGCGAAGTGCAAATATAAAAATGTCCGAATAGATAAACGTAACCGGTAACAAGGACGCATGAGAATAGCCTTCGCGTTTACATTCGCGGGATACATACGCACGTACGCAATGGCAGTCTATAATACGCAATAAAGCGGGCGCGCTCTCGCTCTACGTCCGTGGTAGGTCGAACCGAGTTCGAAGATTCGAAGAAGATTCGAATTCGCGGTGAATTCAAAATCTCGACGATCGCGAGGCGCGATCGTTTGGTGCTTCCTTGCCGGGCGCGCCGGGGCCAGAGATTGTCAACGTTATCACGCTCCTCTTACTTGCTCGCCGAGCCGGTGCCCACGGCGACGAGGTAGATGTCGATCGTTGCGTAGCGGCGACGACGACGATGGCGACGGCGATTGCTGTCCTACGAATTGGAACTGGCCCTCCCACAGGTCATACTCGAGGCCAGCACCAGGTCCGGAGGACGGCCCCTCCCCGGAAAAAGACACGTGGTCGTCGCGGTCGCAAAAGTTCAGCTCCATCGCGGGCGCGACGCGTCGCGTTCTTGTAGGCCCGGTCGTTCGTGTTTATCGCGTCACGTCATCGCCTGTATTGCGAGCGCACCTCGTCATTCCCGCGCGTGCTCCTCCTTCGTCTTCGTCGTCGTCGTCGTCGCCCTCGTCGGCGTTACCGTCACCGTCGCCCGCGTCGTCACGACGTGCGATCGTGCCGCACTAACATGCATTGGGAATGCACTCCGGACTTCCTTCCGTGCGAAGTCACACGCACTTCTACCGTGTCTTAGGCAACTTTACGTGCCAGGAATATATTCCGAGTCCCCTGTTCGCTCACATGTGTCTCTTTCATTCTCCCATTCATTCTCTCTCTCTCTCTCTCTCTCTCTCTCTCTCTGTCGCTCGCTCGCTCGCTTGCTCGCTGCCTCTATCTACTGATCGCCTACTTCGAGCCAGGTCTAAAGTAATCACCATCGAGACCATTTGCGCGTTTCATACCACGTGCCGATTAACTCTGCAGCAGCGTTACGCCGAACGCACCCTAGTCTCCGACGCCGTGTTTCTTGTCTATGCTCGTGACACTCGTAAAAAAAGTATTGTCGACGTCTCTATCGGGACGAGAATCGATATGATTCCCATTATAATTATTCCGACGTCGCGGAGGCGCGAAAATATTCATTCGTAACGTCGATAATCGTCAAACGGTTCACTCTTCCGTAGATACAAATCGTGTTCTCTGATACACACTGCCAGTACTGAAAAGTGAAAATCTATAATATACACACGTATACACACACATTACGTGTACATATTGTAAATTTTCAGTGTATTGGTAGTAGGTGTATATCGGAACACGGTCAACAACGTCATAGAAGTTACGCCGAGTTTTAAATTTATTAGGCATTTATTATAGGCAGCGCAATCTTCTTTTTTAAGTGGAGAACATTTTTCTTATGGTGAATTCGATCACTCGCATTACATTGGATTAGTGCATATTAAAAGCTGCTTTATATAAAATATCTCAATGCAGTGATACAATATAATCAACGAACTGCGCAGTTGCCGTGGCCATGTTGAATCCCCAGGTAGCAAGCTACGTCATTTTGTCGTCATTTTCACGTCGGCTTGCTACCAGAACTCGTGACGTCACAAGCGAGAAATGATACGTTAAGGGATTATTTATATTGACCGTAACCATATAATTTGTAAGAATTAACTAACAGCTGAGTATTCTCCTCACATTTAATTATAAGAAGGGAATGCTCGACTGTAATTAGTCAATTCTTACAGATTATGGCATACAGTACACGATTAGAGTAGTAAGTCTTATATATATATATATATAT